GAAGAAGGAAGGAGAGATAAAGAAGGAAGGAAAGAAAGAAGGAAGGAAAGGAAGAAAAGTATTTCAGATCCACCACTATTTTTGTCAAACATTCACCAACATGATTAAGTTTGAAATAAACTAATGCTAACTATACCCTAAGCACCACTTGTCTATAAGTCCTAAAAGTCCTAGAATCTACTATGGTGACCTTATATTTCAAGATCTCAATAAAATTTCTTCAAACTCTCATATTACCTACAAGCAGATACCATTATGCCTCCTAGTTTCCACAAGTATTCTTGGATGTTGGGTCTGCATTTCTTCTGTTCAATGCTAGCTCTGATTTCCTGCTTTTGTAGCATTCAAAATCCCACTAGTGTCTTGTGCATTCCACCCCTTTTGAACTTCTCTCATAAATTCTAGACATGGCTCTGTGGACTGCACACACCTAAGGCAGACCCTTAATATGGTTGAAGACATGGTTTGCAGCACAGTATAGTGTAGCAAATATCATACAGTGCTCTAATTCCAACTCTTCCAGGCCTTGAACTTTACCTTTGCCACCCAAAGAGCCTCTTTAGGTATTGTGCTTTAAAAACAAACAAGCAAACTCAGTTATCATCTTATGAAATAGGATATTTCACACTTGCTCATGAACTGCTTTCTGATACATACATATTTTAATAACTTCATTTATTAATCCCTTATATTCTATTCACTATATGAAAGGCTTTTTATTTATCGTCACTTAGTTCTCAATGCAATCTTGTGATGTGTTCATTTTTACTATCGTATCTATGAGACAGATGAAAATTTTAGATTCATGGAAGATAACTAATTTTCCCAAGGTCAATCAACTTAAAGGACTGATTATATAGATCAGTGATCACAATGGCTTCATAAGAGACAATGTGTTCCCTGTAAAACTTTTCAGTCCCATGCAAAGATCTCTAGGACTTTGCTCACACAATCATAATGTGGCCATCAGGGAAGTGGACACCGTGTAAACTGCAGCACTGTCTTGGTTACTTTTCTCTTGTTGCTAAGACAAAATACCTGACACCCAGAATTAAGAAAGGAAAGGTTTACTTAGCTCACAGTTTATGGAGGTTTCAGTCCATAATTGGCTGGCTCCAAGGCCAAATGGTACATGGTAGAGGGTAACCATTTATGGTGGTGGAAGATAGCAAAGCAGCAAGAGCAAAAGGGAGAAGTGGCAGCAAGCAGCCTCTTTCTTTCCCTTACATTGCAAAACTACCTGCCCCAGGGCGAGTATAGCACTCATACCCATAATCCCAGCATTAGACCATGGATGGATCACAAACTCTAGAAGCCCACCCCCATAACTGCATGAGGCTTTGGGAGGACATGCAGAAACAAACCATAATATTCCATGCCTTGCCTCCTCAAAGACTCATGCCCATCCCTTTATGCAAAAGACATTTTAGTCCATCTTTAAGAGTTACCAAAGTCCTAACAGTTTTGGCATTGCTGAAAAGTCCAAGTCACAAGTCTCCTCAGAGATGTAAGGCAAACTCTTTAGTTACAAGCCCCTGTACAAATGAAAAGTTAGACACATTGCTGAAAAGTCCAAGTCACAAGTCTCCTAGAAAAGTCCCTAGAAAAGACAGAGTCTTGGGTATCCCACTCAGGCCCCCCCTTCTGTCCCTCTCTTGGACAATATATTTATTGTCCCTCAATAAATATATTCTGCTCGTAATCTCCATTGTTCCTAAAATTCATTCTTCAATTTTAGAGAACACAAACTCATCCCAGATATCATTCAGGTTGGGAGTTTTTATTTTCCTGTATCAACAACACTTATCATCTGGAGTCC